AATTCATATTATAAAATAGGGTACTTTAGTAATTTTTTAATGAAAGTTTCTTAAAACGACGTAGTTTTTAAATGATTTTCCTTCTAATTTTTAAAAAGTGAAGCATGTAGACACTTTTTTCCTACTTTCTTGTTTTTTTATACTAATTTTAATTAATATTTTATATATTTTTATAATAGTAAAAGACAAAAATTGCAACTACTAGCACAACACTAACAAATAAACCTTTAATATTTGACACCTATTTATTTACCGTGAAATTTGGTACATTTGGTTTCTCCTAAGTAATTTGGATTGAATATTTTGATTAAATTCTATGCTAGGACTTAATAAAAGTTAATTTCCTTAATCACATTATATTAACGTGGGAGTTTGTATCTAAGATTGCCCAATTAGCTATTAGTCTATAGCCCAAGATGCACACATGTTAAAATCTGAATAACTATCCAAAAAAAAAACACCTTTGTGCCCTAGTTTCAAATTATCCAATTCACCCAGTAATCAAATTGGTGCCTAATTGTTTGGACGTTGGTTTCAATACCTAGATTTGATCATAATTATAGGTTTATCATGAGTTTTTGTAGATTTGGTTTCTCTAATGTGATTTGGATTGAATATTTTGATTAAATGTCATGTTTTATGAATTTAATTTCTTCAAATGTACCATGTGGATGTGGGAGTGCGTGTTAAAGATTGTCTAATAAGCTATTATTCTCAATCAAGATATACACAAGGTAATCCAATTGCTCCTGACTATCCAAATAAAAAAAAATGTTTTTAAAAATTCTTGCCCTAGGTTCAAATGATCCAATTTACCCAATAACTGAATTGGTACCTAATGGTTTGTATGTTGGTTCTAATACCTAGATCTAATCAATATTATCGGTTTAGATAGCAATTCATGAGTAGAATCAAACCACACCAATATATTGTAGGCTCATTTACTTAGATGTATTGAGAATAAAAATTAGAAATTCAATATCGATAATAACTAATAAATAATGAAAAAATCATTATTGCATTAAGGACATATGACCATATGGGAAACACAGTCAAGGAAAAAAAGGAAGATGAAATAAAAGTAAAATTAGAAATCAATAATACCGAGAGAAAGAAGGCGATTCTTTCTTCTATCAAACTCAAAGAACGACTCAAATCGAACACTTCTTGCTTCTAGCTCCTAAGAGATAAACACACCGAACCATTCTAAACACCTTCTCATAGATTCGTCATGAGCGGTAACCTTGTTTTATAGCGTCGAGGGTTTGATTTGTTATTAATTAATAAAAAAAATTATTTTTTATTTTTAAAAAACCTAATTTATTTTGGTTAAAGTAACGTTTTGGTCTCTCAATTTTTAGCTTTTGTACCAATTTTTTTCCTCAACTTTTTTTTAGTCTTATTTGTTCCTTCAAATCTCTAATTTAGTGCCAAAACAGTCCCTTATTAACTATTTGAAAAGTTTAGGGACCATTTGGTACTAAAATTAGAAATTTAGGGCCAAAAAAGTTTATGATCAAATTTAGTGTAAAACTGAAAGTTGAGGGACCAAAAGATACTGTAACCCTTTTATTCTGTTATATCCTTTTGTGTTATATAGAAGGAAAGAAATCAGATATTTGTATTTTATTTAAATTAATAATAATTACCTGTATACCATACCAACAAAAATAAATGAAAAAAAAGGAGATATTTACCTATATTAATAAATGATATACCAATAAAAGGTAAATTCAAAAATCTATCCTATTTGGTAAGAAAATTTGACAGATTTTGTACAGCTAAATTTTAAAATCTATTTTTGGTAACAAAATCTATACCGACAGATTTTATATTTATTGCATCCTTATCACAATGGCTGGATAGGAGCCACGGCCACTAAACCATATACTGTGAAAAGACCATTTTGACCTTTCGATATATGGCACAGTCGTAATTTTCTGTGGTTTATGAGCCCTAATAATAGTTTCCATCAGCCAATTTATTTTACAGTGTGTAGAACGGCGTGGACGCCACACATTTTCACCAATTCACCGACCGACCGACCGACCGACCGACCGCCCGCTCCGCGTGGGAAAGATTAGGTGTGGTCGAACACACATCTTGACCTGTTCCCTTCCACCTTTATTTTTTTTTTCTCTAATTAAGAATTTGGAGATAAATAAATTATACTCCCTCTTTTATTTTTATTATTAGTTTTAATTTATTTTTTTATTTTTTAACGTAAATTTTAAATAAAAAATTATTATATTATATAGATAATAATTAAAATTTTTTTATCAAATAAAAATGCTTAATAAGAATTATATATAAGAAAAAAATTTCAATTATTATTGATATATATTATTAAATTTTCAGCTAAAATTTTTATTTAAAAAATTAAAATATCAAATTAAAACTATTAACAATAAACAGAGGGCGTATGTTAATTTATACTACTTTTAAAAAAGAGATAAAAGATTAAAAAAATGACTTTTTATTATAGATTAATTAATTAAAGTAAATAAATAATAATAAAATCAAAATAAAGATAACAACAATTATTTTAAAAGAAATGAGTATAAATAATTTGAATAATGATAAAAAGAGAAAATTTTATGCAATTAAAATATATGATCAATGATGTAATATAAACACGTTATTTAAAATATTAAAAAATAAATTTTATCTTATTTAATAATTAACTTTTTATTTTATTAAAATTTATAATATTATATATATTAATTTATTTAATAATATAATTTATGTCACATAATTGATAATTCTCCTTCTCTATATTATCCCTCATAATTTTTGTAAAATTTTATTAGAAGATAACATTATAACACTATGTATCCTATCTGTCATCCCTTTTTAGTCATAACTCCCAATAACATTTAGGAGAAAAGGTAACAATAATAAATATTATTATGCACCAGGCCCTTCGGGTCAATTGACACCCAGTCAACTTGAGGTGCATTCTCCCCTCCCTTATAGACAAGTTTCGAGTTCGCTCCTTGATAACTTGTTTAAAATAAATAAATAAATAAATACTATTATGATGTTATCATGCTTTTAGTGATGAGTAAGAGGCCAAATTGAGAAAGGGTAGCCTCCTAGACCAAGATCAAATAATAACAATAATAATAATAATACGAATAATAATTAATAACTAAATGTTAGAGTGCTTCTCCAATTTTTGAACTCCTAATTTAGAAATTAAAATTTTGATATCATTGGTCTTAATGAAAACGTATAGACGCATTGTCTTAAAGATTTGATTGAAAGAAGATCAAACAAAAAAAAAAGAATCACTATTTGTAGAATGGGCACTTACAGATCTGAGGTAAGGAAGCATATATATTGAAGTACGTGTGAATGAGGGGAATATCACACAAAGTTTGACGGATAACAAAGATGATATGGGATTTGCTCGATGAACAATCCAAAGACGATAGGGAGACAGATTTGCAGTATGTTTCATTATCAGCATCACGCATACATGTAGATGACTTAAGACATCAGAATCGATTCAAAATGAGTTTTGTTTTTTTTTTTTTTTAAATCATTACGAGTCTCACACCAGTGAACCAGAACAGCGTTTCTTACATCTTCAAGCTTCCACCTTTGCTGCTGCAGATGCATAGCTTACACTACTGTCTCTCATTGTTTTGCATTGACTTGATTGTTCGTAGCGGAGGAATTTGATCTTGATTTTTGTGGAACAGTTCCTCACCATCTGAAAGATTTGAAAGAATAATAAGACTTGGAATCATAGAACCATACTGAAATATCCATGAAAATCACATGCATAATCATCTGGAAGATGATTCACTATATTGAAGAAACAACCAACCAAAGGAGCAGGAGTGCAGGAAAAACATCTAATTCTATCAGTAGCACGGGCTAATGATTCTCCTTTTTTTTTAGTGGTAGAGAAATGGGACAGAGAATTGTGAAGATGAGGGTTATAGGGTGATTGAAATTTTTGTAAGAGGGAATGCCTTCACTTATTTGGACCCCATTATAACTTTTGAAAAGGACTAGAGAAACTTACATGAAGGAAAACACTAATTGGATGGCGTCCACAAATAGTGTTGTCATATTCCAGCAAATACTCTTTGAATGCATCTGGATCTCCTGTTTCTATTATATCCATGCCCATCTTGTCCAGGGCCTCAATTGATTTGTGTATGGCCCCATGTTTCTTCTCATAGTGTGTATAATTGAACCTTAAAACATTTACAAACAAAAGTTTAAATGTCAGACAGATTGTAGAAAACAGACAACTGCAGAAAACACCATTCCTTAATGGAAAAAATATTTATTTTCAGCTCATAGCTGAAGAAAGCACAGATTTGAAGTTTCAGTGGAAAATGTTATCCAACATTTGCCATGAGCCGCTCATGTAAACTTGAAAAATAAAACGGAAATTCGTAAAAGCATGAATGTTGAATCCAGTGATGTTCTAGAGCAATCACCCATGAAACAAGTCTGAAACAAGAAAATTTTGCTAATGCTACTCTTCATCCACATACAAGAAATGGAAAATGAAGGCTAATAGATATTTAGGTGGAGAGAGAAACAATCTGGTACAGTTGAGGAGACCAAATCAAACATACCTAGAACCCCAGTGACAGAAGTCTGAGGACACGGAGAAGAAATTTTTAGGATCATCAACATATTTTGCTAACAACCTTCCGTACATTGCTTCATTTTCAGCATTAAGAGCACCAACCAAAATGGGCACAACTTTCACTGGATGCCTATGTCATTATAAACCCAAAATTAGTCTCAATGAGAAGCTGGTATACAACCTGATTATATGATAAAATTTACCCCTCAAATATTTTGGCAAGATATGGCAAGTGCATTTCCATGCTATGTTCAGCCTCATCAACACGAAGATCCATCAGTTCAAATTTTCCAGTAGCTTTGAGTTCCTCAATGACTGGAAATGAAACAAACATGAAGTTATGGACTCATTAAACCACAAAGAAACTATATAGAAAATCAAAGTGAAAGCTCAAATAAACTAAACCCACCATTTCACAAGATCCTGTGACTTTAGACAATTTCAGCATAGCCATACAAGCAAACTTTATACCCCAACCACCTCAACGGCTATATTAAACCTACTTGACCATTTAACTTTCTGCTTCCCAACTCCTACTCTAATTATCCAAGCAAAAAACTTCTAAATATAAATAATTGTAAATGGTCAAGATAGGCACCACTATGTTTTGTTTGCCAAGCCCACCAGATTGCCTGACTAATTTTTTAAGAATAAAATATAAAATAAAATGGAATTCACAGGGAAATCAAGTTTCATATAACATCTAAGTTTCTCCAACATGAGAGATACTTGAAAATGGAAAAGCACAGTACCTTCCAAATCAATAGGTAGGTCCCCTATTGGAGTCTTGTAAACTGTAGCTGCTGAAAGAGCACATTTTGGGGTGTAATAGTGGTGAGAGGGACCAAGAAGGAATACTCGGGAACTGACATTATAAAATCATCTCACATATCAGTAAGTAATAGAACTGGATGAACTGGCTAAAGTCATTAGATTTCCCAAATATAATCATGCATTAGCTGAAGATAATTGCTCCAATTTCCATGTAATGTAACCGATTAAAAGAATGATCACCTTTTCTTGCAATAGAACATTTTATTGATATAGCAGTCTATTTAGAAACGGAGGGACAAATAAGAGGAAAATACATACATGTTTGTTGGGTCTATGTTTCCAAATGCATAGGCAGCAGCACGACCTGAATACGAATAGCCTGCATGCCTGAAATTCCCAAACCAGCGCAAAATTAGAACAATTAAATACAATCAAATATTATTAAACTCGAAAGCAAAACCAAGAAGGTCATAATGACTCACGGAGCAATCACTCCTCGTACATCAGAAGATTTACTCAAACCAGCTGCTCTGAGCCATCCATCAAGCTCTTCTTCTAATTGCTTTGCTGATAAATATACAGGTAAAAAAATTAAATAACTAAATACTAGCAAAGATATTAGCTAACCATTTATATAGTCTCAATAAGCTCTCCTACTTAAAATTTTTCCCACAAACCTTAAATGGCAAGATCATATAGAAGCATAAAGCTAATTCTTGACCCACACCATAAAAAAGAAGTATTTATTTGCAGTTTTTCCTATCCTCATAGCTTGTAGAACACATTTTTTTTTTTTTTCTCAAGAAAATTTACAACCTTTACACCTTCACTAACCGTAATTTAAACTACAGGTACCCATTAACGTCCCTGAACATCGATTCACCAGATTTTACTTAAGCAATGAAAATAAAATGCGCTTGGTATCAGCATTTTTGGACACTCAGAAAAAGGCAGCATCATCAGCAAAATATTGATTACTTGGAAATTCAAAAGGAAGGTGAAACTACTTAGCAACATGCATCAACGAAGTGAGATTTGATCATTTTTTTTTTTTTTTCAAAATTCCAAAGGTTTGTCGGGAACTAAACAGGAGGGAGTGATGAAGATGGAGTTATAGAGAGAGAGTGAAAATGGGACTACTTACGGTTATCGGTGTACCAAGAACCCGCATGCGATGCTCTTCTGATCTTGTCCATGAAAACTCTGAGAGGGAATGAAAGCCCTAATTTGGGGATGGAATTGGGAATTGGGAATTGGGAATTAGGAATTGAGTTGAGATGGTTCGTTCTTGTTGAAGAAGGAAGAGTGAGGGTAATTTTATTTGTATGATTAATATAATTAAGGAAAGCAAAGTAGCCCTTTATATTCTGATGAAATTATTATTGAACAGGTTTAGTTTAGATAGTTTAGGTGATACGGCGCAGCACAGGTGTCCATTAATGTTCATGCTTCTCATCCTTGAGAGATACACGTGGCAGGCAGATATTCCTGTCTTGCTTACCCTCACCATACTGTATATTATGGTATTTTAAAAGAAAAAAAAAATTGAGTTCCCTATTTTTCTTAAAAAAAACAGTATATAATTTGGGCCAAGGGGGATTTTCTAAAGAAGTTGCGAAAATTCGAAATCTTAATCCATTAACTTAAATGTTTTAAGATTTAGATAATAAAATAAGATAGTTAAATGGGGTAGAGGGTATGCCCTTTGTCCAATATTTTTTATTATACAATATATATAAATTAGATCGAAGAAATGACTTTCTCATTAGGTAATTATTTTTATTGTGTAATTTAAATATTTAGAATGTATAATAGTTATTTTTAAAAAACATTATATAATTTAAATTATTAAATAAAAGCAAAATAACTAGGTTGTGTGCTCATTTAATAGTTCCTAACAAAGACTCCTTTTAAACGTCATAATATTTGTTGTAGCATTGGCAATTAGTGATTGGGTGGTTGGCAGTGTAAAATTTTAGTGAAATCCTTTATTTGCATTGTGTGTGTATATATATATATTATGATTAATATCTTTTATATTTTTTATTTTTTATCAATATTTTTTTATAATTTAAAATTCATTAAGAAAAAACCTTAAATTACCAAAAACCTTAAATTACCAACACAATTAAAATGTAAATAGGAAATTTAACTTTTGTTATGTTTTTTTTATAGGATTTTAATTATAAAAGGTATTAATTAAAAATAAAAACTCTTGAAGGTATTGATTATATGAAAAAATAATGTGTAAAGTGTAGATAAGGATTTGCCTAAAATTTTTAAGTTACTAGTTTAAGATCACAAAACACAGATGTTTTCTTCTTCATTTTTTTTTTTATTATTATTATTCTTTTTCTTTCTGCCCGCTGTAAGGAAGCTGGATTTGAAACTTTGAACAAAGGGAGAAAGAAAGGGAAAGGGCTAGAATAAGAAAGGGTCTCAATAACATAATTTACACAGTGAAACTGTGAAAGTAACAAAAGGAAAGTGAGATCTAAGGGAGAGGCTGGGAAGAGAAGAAAACTGGAACAACATTATCCAACAAAATTTATACAATAAATAGCACAAGTTCACATAGACCCAACAACATAATACATTTTATCTGCCAGACAACCATCACAAAATGTTACAACTGACCAAGCTGACAATCTAAAAAAAGAGTAATAATAAGAACTTTCTTTGAATACAAACCAAATTGGTTATTTGGTTTGCAACCAGTTATTGGTTTATTGCCCTTGCAAATGAACCAATCAAATGATATGTGCCCTCTATCTCAAACTAGGAAGTATGAACGAAAAGCCATTACTCTGCCAAAAAAAATTTTCAAAAGAATGCATGACATGCTTCAAGCTCCATAGACTCTGAACACTTTCATCAATATGAAAGTGAAAGCTAACTATCCTTCTTTGACTCCAAAGCAAAGAATGAGCGGAATGCAGCAGCCCGTAGACTAAAAGAAAAAAATCCTGCATCATAAGAAAAATGTCAGTCCAACAGCATTGGAAGATAGGTCAAGACGACAGGTTGCAGGTTAAATGACTCACTGTAACAAAAAGAACAGAAGTATAGAAGATATAAGTATGATTACTGAAGTCTATAGAAAGAACACTAAAAGAAAAGCGACAGCCAACGAAACATAGTTTCAAATCAACCATCAGCTTATAAATTTGATAATGGACCATTTTACATTTGATGCTAGTATGAGTTCCTATTAAAACACAATTTGTTATGCGGAAAACTGACAATATCTTAACTTAGGGTTGAAATAGTAGCAAAACATCTGTCCTCGAATCCCAGTACCACTCCAAAGCCTTTCTCTTATGCAATCAGATGAGTCCAGCATAATTTTCCTTCCACGAATTGTCAACTTTCCTAATCCTCTATCTCATCAATAACGAAATGCAGAGATTATGAAACATTGTTCTACTAGAGCAACCAACGCAGCATGTATTAAGAAAAGTATGCACAAGCAAATGTGTATCTGAACTATCTAGTTCTGCAAATCCTTTCCATATATCAATAGTTGAGGTCATAAATGACTGTATCATACCATTTAATCAATATGTTTAATAGGCAAAAGGGTTAAAAGGCAAATCATGGAATTTTCTAATATTAAACAAGCTGAACAAAAGAAACAAGCTTACCTATCTCTGTCACAACCAAAAAGAAAACTGACGCACTTGCCCAATGCTTGAAATTAATACACAATCTTTTAAAAGAAAACTCAAACATGCTCCAAGATGTGATGAAGTTTTGGAGCCCGACGACGAAACAATGGTTCAAGGCGGAAAGATGGAACGCCAATCTGCCACCTATGGGCATCATACATCTCATTCCATGCCTGTACAATCTCATCAATTTTGAACCCCAAACCTGCAATATCATGATAGGGGCAAAATTTAAGCTAAAGCAGTCTTGCTAAATACAACAAAAAGAATAAAACAACTTCAATAAGGGAGTCTGTTGTGATTCCTTTTTATGTTACCTTCCAGAGCCGTTCCATTGGAACAATGGTTCTTTATCATAACAGCAATATCTGTTGGAGAAGCTCCAGCAAGTCCAAATTTCTCAACTGAAACCTCTAAACATTCTTCCCAACTTGGTAACCCAAGCTTATATTCAACAATAGAACGCTCATAAAGCAAGGTACCCCATAATAGGTAGATCTGCGAACTCATGTTTGCAGCCTGCTCTGAAGCTTCTTCAGCAGAAACATCTTTAAGCAGCCCATCCAACCCCATTTTCTGTAACTGGGCTTTATAACTATCAATTTTGGAGAGTCCATTCAGGCGCTGCTCCTCCATTTCCTCCCACATCTGCATACCTCGCTCCATGCTGTCCTCAGCCTTGTTATAAAGCTCTAGGACCTCCTGGGAAGGACCAGTCTCTAAATCAACCTTGTTCCCAATTGCATGGTACCAACAGAGTTTTGCCTGCTCAAACTGCTGCTGTCCAAGCGCAAGAAGAGCTTCATAAAAATCAGGTTTAACTTTCAAAGCCTCTTCATACCTTGTTGCAGCCAGTTTATACTCTTTTTGTGCCCACTCATATGCAGTCTTAATCTGAGCAAGTACAGACTCTCGTGAGCCATCTTCTGTGAAATATACCCGCTTTCTTGCCCTGGACATGTGAACATTGCCCCAGTTGAACAACGCTAGAGCTGACATCTCCTGGAACTTATCTGCAGCAATTTCAAAAATTTCCTGTGCTTCCTCACTTGTCACAGAATCCTCGATTGCTTCAGAGTATAACTTCATCCCTAGCTCATGAAGATCTAAGTAAGAATCAGAATCAAATCCAACATGGTTCTTGAAGAGTCTTGCAAACTGGACAAGCCAGTCCTCAATGCATGTTGGCCTCTTTTCAACTTCTATGTATTTCTCCAAATTCCCACTCTCAAAATCACGATCCAGTTTCTTATGACCCTTTTGGACCTCCTCTTTGTTTACTCCTTCATAAGCTGGCTCCTGATCAGGACTAACTTCAGCAATATACAATTTAAGTGATCCCTGTGAACCACCAGACGATGACTCTGCCAACCTAAGCTCCTCTGTTGTAGTGATTGTAACCAAGTCGCCCTCTTGATCCCTATATTTTACAAGAACACCCTTCAAGCCCGGAAACCTGTCCAGAACTATATCCCTCACCAATTTAACATTACAATTCGAGGGTAGCTGTGCCCACCTTATATCTTCCCCAAGGACCAGCTTCACCGTCTTGGTAATCACTTTTTCTTCTTTCACAGCCTTCTTTTCTTCCTCAACCATCTTCATAACTACTTCCTTATCCTTAATAACAGTCACTTTCTTCTCCTCCACAACCACCTTATCCTCTGTTTTCTTCTCCTCAACGCTCATGTCGCTCTTCTCCTCAATGCT